AACAGTGTTGTAAATACAACTTAACCACTGATTTGTAGTCGTGTCCTCTTTTGGAAGACCAAACAAAGTAGTTTTGCTTTCACAACGAAAAACACAGCGGCCTAGTGTGAGGGGAAGCCCCGGCTTAGCGTGCGCTGAGGCCGGGATAGAGTGCACTGAGGCGGCGGGGTCGAGAACGGCGCGCCCGGCGGATGCGACGAATGAGCGGCAACCACATGTGACGACCCCGGGCTGGACTCCGCTTTGTACACGGTGAAAGTTGATGCATTCCCTCAGCGACCAGCACAGATCAGCTCTAGGCATGATGAAGCGGATATCGTCCTCTTTTGGAAGACCAAACAAAGTAGTTTTGCTTTCACAACGAAGCACACAGTGCCTTCACGACATGGCTGCAGCGTCAACAATACTACAGCGAGAATAAAAGTTACGCTTTCTTTCTTTTCGTGAACATTTGGGCAGCGTTATGCAAATCTTCCCACATAGTGAGGTAGATATGTGTGGGCGTGTTAGAACGAGCTGTTTTAGGTAGGCGTGGCTGCCAGTTCACGTCTCAGGTCTGGAGGGCATTCTGCAATCAGTTGGATATCAACGTCAGTTTAACTTCAGGCTATCACCCACAAGCCAACTGACAAGTCGAAATGACTCAACCAGGAAATGGGAAGGTATCTCCGAAGCTACTGCAGCCGTGAACAGCACAGATGGTCGGCATTCTTGCCATGGGCGGAATACGCCCAAAACTCTCTGACTCACTCTAATGTCTAACCCCCTTCCAGTGTGTCCTAGGATTCCAACCGCCTCTGTTCCCGTGGTCTGGTGAACCCTCCTCGGTTCCTGCAGTGGACGACTGGATTCAACGTAGTGAGAGGGTGTGGGACAGTGCTCATGTCCGTCTCCAGCGAGCTGTGAGAACACAAGAATTCTGTAACACTAAGCCAGCAGAGGGAACCTTCGCCCGAGTACTGACTGTGCTCCACTCCCTCTGCTTCCTCTGCTTTCACTTCCTGTTTGACTCTCATATAAACTGAGACCAGTCCATGTGCTGATCGTGAAGTATTGCCAGTTTATCTGCCTTACCAAGCGTTATTCTTCCTCTGTTCCTGATTGATTTCCTGTGTATGATTCTGCCTGACTTCTTGACTCATGGCATTTGTACTCTGCCCCTTTTGTTCTGACGCCTGATAGGACTGATGTTTGTGTTTGGACTCATTGCCTGCCTCTCCACTATTGTCTCTGCTTCTGCCCTTGTGTATGACGAACGATCTGCTTGCTTCTCTGACTTTGACCCTCTGCCTGATTATCGACATCTGTTTAAAGCCTTGACCTTTAATAAACTTCCACTCATGGATTCTATCCAAACTCCAGCGTCTCTGTTACACGGGGACTGTAATGGTTTTTATGCTGTACAAACTGTATTTTCCATCACCTTACACCAACCCTACACCTAAACCTACCCCTTACAGAAAACTTTGTGCATTTTTACCCTAACTCCATTTAGTATGTTTTTAAGCCTTTTGAATTACCTTCACATTGTAATACCTCTGTCCATGTCATGCAAATTTGTGTCCCCATAAACCACCCAAACCAGTGCACACACATGCATACAGTGGGTACGGAAAGTATTCAGACCCCCTTA